AATTCTACCTCTTCTATCTTATCTCTTCTTCTTCTTCTTTTTCTGGTATATAGCTCAACACCCCCCCCCCCCAAATTGACAGTGTTTAATTTCACCATTGAGTTGCCCAGCAAGCTCATCTTTTTCTATCATCATCTTTCTCAACTTATCTACCCATAACTGCTCTCTATATGCTTCTTCCCCTTAATCCCAAAATTTTTGAGCTTCCAACACACACAAAATCCCAAATAGCAGTAACCACATGTCAAACCTCCTCTAATCAAAATTTTCTTATCCAGCCACGAGGCTGTGATTTGGATTTCACAATCACAAACAGACTACAGATTTCACAGATCTGATGAATTTCATGCAATAAGAAGCTCATCAACAGTTCTGGTGAATCACATGCAATAAGAACGATCCAATTTTATTTGTCAATCCTTTTTCTCCTTCACGTATTTTGGTTTGAGAAGTGGTGGATTTCCTCATAGAAATGGGTTCGCGTTTTTCCCAGTAAAATTCGCTTTTTGTATGATTAAAATTTGCAAATTTTATACAAATTTTTTTTATAAAACGAGACTTTACGCTCCAAAGCAAAAGCGTGGGCAAGCCCACGATTACTGTGATCTAACTTTCATCCTATAATAAAGTGGGATACATCTGGTTACAAACAAATGTCGACAAAAAATTAGTGGTAGCCGAGATACAATATGGGCCTCCACTCCTTTAGGGGGAAAATCCAAAACTACCACTGTTTTTAAAAAAATTACAAAACTACCATTGTTTATTAAAAACTGATCCATGCAGGCGGCGGTTTACCATGGTACCGCCTGCTAGACACGCGGTTTGTCTTTTTTGGGAAAAATGCCCTTCGAAAGAGCGGTTTTCATGGATGCCCTAGCACAAACCGCGTCCTCTGAGAGCGGTTATGTGTCGGCAAGGTAAAATGCTCCACAGGGAAGCGGTTTACCATGTCGACACATAAACCCCCCCCCCCAAGCGGTTTGTGCCTCGTCACTTGACACCCAACATGTCGGCATGCAGGAGGTTGCAGGGGTGTGATTTTTATGTTAGTAACTTAATTACAGTTTTATTGCAGATGGCATTCCAAAAGTTCACGCTTGGGTTACGGTGGAATGGTTACACAGAAGAGACCGGAAAGAGTGTAAGTTACGTGGGTGGCAATTTTTATAAAATGAAGGCCCGTACGAGACCGATGCTTGAAGAGCTCCATCAAATGTGCACTGAGATGACCTGCATGGATGGCACTAGACATGGCGGGTCGTTGTGGAATGAGAAATTCATCATTACCACTCAGGAGGACGTTGATGCCATGGTCAAATTTTTTACCACCAATAAGATTAAACAAGCGGAGATGTTCGTTTACACCGAGGCGGCCGAAGGCGGTGTAGGTCATTCTGGATATGGCCAAACATCTGGTACCCCCTATGACTCGCCGGGACTTCTAATGGTAGGCATTGCTCACGTCCGAATTGTCGTAGACATCGATCCGACAAGTGCCACTCCACTATATGGAGGCAGATTAGTGGCACTCGGGTGCACCTTGGAACGGGATGCAACGGGAACTTGTGGACGTGATGTGCGACGATGCGTTCTGGCTACGGATCGAAAATAAGCTACGAAGGTGCAGAAAAAATGGACCATCTAGAAACATAATAAAGCAAGTTGAAAATAGAGCAGGAAGTAATAGTGTATTATGATGGTTACCTCTACTTCCCAAAGGTGATCCAACCTCCTACAATACTCCTCCAGCTTATGCGCGACTAGGTTGTCGCATCTTGTTTCACCAAGCCACCTATTAATATGGAAAAGTACACAATGTTAATACATACTAAAAATTTTGTTATAAAATACTGAATTAGTATAAAAAAAAAGTGGGAACTATGAGTGGGATAGAAAATGTTTACCTACAACCATAAGCTTCATGTCATAGGGGATGGTCGGGTCCCCATTCCTTGTCAGGGTCTTCCTTCGGCGCAATCCATGAAAGATGCTCCCAAGCCCAAAATTGAACGATGAACATGGCCCCATCAATCTCCTTCACCGCTCTCGAACTAGCATTGCAGAGGGAGCGGTAGATATGAGCTAGGCAAGCAGATGCCCAGCTCAGGTTCCCCATATCATCACAATCTCCAAATATGATCTTCAACCATGAATTGTTGATTAAATTGTTGGATTTTTTGGGGAAGAAAACTCCTCCGATCATGTCGAGGATGTAGATACGTGCATAAATTTATTTATCACGCTCTGAACTTTCCTACGTGAGGGGAATGCCTCCGACCTCAAGGTTGTTTCCGAGAAATATACATAATTTAATAAACATTAATATTAAGCCTACTAAAATAATTAACTAAAATGAATACCATTTTTGAAATTTAAGTAAAATTATTTTTGTACACATGCACATAAAATCAAATATATTATTTTGTACTTCGTATTGGTTGTTTTCAATAATTTAAAGCAATACAAGTACACTTGTAAGACTCTTAGGAGAGGTATACATCTCCTTAGAAACACAGTCTATTTGACAGAAAAAGGGGGGATCCGAGGATCGTTTAGAACCCGATTTTTCCAAGTCATGGGAGGATCATGATGATCGCTTAAGACCGCATTTCCTTAGACATGCATTTCTTACTAAATAGTCTAAATAAGTGTTGTATTGTATTGATTTAAATTATTGAAAACAATCAATACGATTAAAAATTAAGTAATTTATTGTACAAACAAATAAATTACGTTAACAAAATAAAAATTACAAGTGATGATAAATAATATGTACCTTGTGGTCGTTCCAAACGTCTCTTGAACGATGATTGGATTGATCGTATAAAACAGACGGATCAATCTGTCCTTGATCAACATAATATCGTTGATTGTATATATCAACATCTGGACCAACCTACGATAGCATAACAACAACATAAATCAATTAGTATATAAATTAAATAAAACCATTATAACAACAACAAAAATTGGGTAAAATGAGTACATACCGCTTGATAATCATCATAGTAAATACCCTCTTCTTCGACAAAATCGGCCATTTTTTCAGGATACTGACAGAGATTCAACGGTTTTTTAGTGAAAATCTATGAAAAGTTTTTTGAAGGCAGATCGGACTTAGCCGTAACCAACAAAACAACTACATCCAAGGTTTTTGGGTGGGGAGGGGGATGGGTAGAGTGAGAAACTTAGAGAGAGAGAGAGGAGATTGGGTTTGGTGTGAAGAAAATGAGAGGAAGGGGTGGGTATTTATTGGGCAAGAACAGCATGCTGGAGGGGCGGTTTGGTATTTTTACCCCAACAAAAACCGCGCCTCCAGCACACGGTTTACTCTTCCCAACGCGCAAACTGCGCCCTTGCGCAACGGTTATCAATTCACGACGCGGATCGCTCCGTTGGCAGGCGGTTAGCCTTCAGATCGTCTGCCCATCGCGGGGTTGCATGGACCGCCACGTGTAGGTGCGGTTTTGCAGCTGCCCAATGGCAAACGGCCCCTTGCCTGCGTGGTTTGAATAAGAATCGCGCCTTCAAGGCGCGGTTTATGGGGGATGGTGGTAGATTTGGAATTTCTTCGGAATAGGTGGTACTTTTGTTTTTTTTTTTTTAACAGTAGTAGTTTTGGATTTGTTTTTCCCTCCCTTAGCTATAGCAAAACTAAGTCTAGTAAAAATGTGTGTGTCCACCCGAGCCCCTACATACTGAGACATGGAGAATTTTTGGATCCTCTTAAGCAAAACCACATCATCCGTATCCAACTCTCCCAGCGAAGCAAAGGAAAAGGGCAGGAAACCGTAACCAACCGCCATAAACAAGTCTCGATACTTGACACACTTTCGCTGAGCAGCATCAACAACAACTCAGTCATGCACAAAACTCGACATCCTAGTCTGATTCAGAGGTGAAGACCCAGTCAAATCGACACACACATCTCGCCCCCTGTCCCAGGAATAAAGCAGCAAATCCATAGGACGAAGGGGTCATCCATGCCCATCAACCAAACCAATATCAACCTCCCTACCAACAGAAATCCCATACTTGTAACAGTGACTCAAGATAGGGTAAGTAACCATTGGTTACTCACTTATGGCTATGAGTAACTAAATACGAACCTTTCTTTTTGAGTGGGTTCAGAAAATTAAGATCTAACGGTTGTGAATTAAAACATTTTATTTACCCTAGTTTTCTCAATCGGTTGTGCACAGATGTAACGAGTTTGTTGTGCTCTACAAAATGAGATCAATTTTTCAATATTTTTTAAGAAATTTATTTTCATTCTCTTTACCAACTCCATACAATATGGTATTTCCTTCGTTTTTAAGTCGGTTTTGAAAATATTTGCATAGAAGAAACAAGTTTATCATGATCTATTGGACCTATAAATTTTTTGGTGAAAAAAATACATGACAAAAACATATTATACTATATCACCCTGGTGTGAGGGTGGTAACTTGTGGTACATAATGATAAAAGTTATAAATGATAGTTAGTATACTCATATTATCATGTATTCAAATATCCTACAATCTTGGTATGTTCATACCACCATGATATGCATGCATACCATATCTACTCTTATTTAATACCAATGTCATATGGTTTTATTGGTAAAAAATGACTCAACTTTTTTTTTTCAAAAATATATTAAAATTGACATAGTTTTAAAAAGTACTATTAATCTGATTGATTTGTATAAAAAATATATACTCCGACTTAAAATGAGAGAGAAATCGTCATTATAAATTAAAATAAAATTTTTGTAAATCAGATTTGTATAAAAAATATATACTCCGATTTAAAAAGAGAGAAATCATTCGTTAAAAATTAAAATAAATTTTTTGTAAATTTATTATAAAAGAATGTTGATGTCATGTGGACGAATGTGGACAGTTATAATCCTAAAATTTCTGACTGCTAAAATTTCTAACTGAGAGCCGAGTATGACAAGTTAGTCACAGTTATAAGTTTATAACCCTAAAATTACTCTAAAATTACTGATTGGATCTGCTCCCCGAAGAATAATACAATTACTTTGCTCGGCATGCCCCAAGCCTAATTAGCAATAATAGTCAATTCTCCATACACTCAATTTCTTTATTTATTATTGATGACTAACCATCCATTAATATGTATGGTAATTACAATATGATTTATGTCTTTCACCACCTTGTACTGTTACAAGAGAGTTGCCGAACCACATTGTTTGCTTTTCTCGTACTCTTTTTTCTCCCTTTTGGCCTTGGCATTTTTCCCCACTATATCTTCGGAAAATACAAACGAAACACACACGCACACAGGCCTATGGCTTGGCCGCGCCGGACTGGGGCTGACTGGAGTCACCGCTGGGCTTGACAATGAGGACGGCGCATTTTGCGTGGTGCGCGCAGTAATCGCTTACGCTCCCCAGAAATGCTCTGCATACAGAAGCATCCATTTTTTTTCCAATCAATACAAACCAATATGCAAATCCAGTAGTGTTATTATTATTAGCGTATATGTGACCATAATATCAATTAGTTTCACCTCTTGATCTTGCCTAAGCCGCGGCTTCCCACCACGAGAAGATCAACGTGGGTTTGCTCTGTGGCTTGACAGATGGTGTCCTTGGGTTCTCCCTCCATTATCAGCGTCTCTGCCTTCACCTGCACCCCCCAAACACAAAACATTACATCTTACGTTCTAACCCTAGCTAGGGAGCGAGCGAGTCCACAAAGCGTTAGCTTAGGCTTACCATTTTGTCACTGCACATCCGCATAGCGCGAGCCAAGAGCGCCGCCGAAGCTTCGGCTTGGGCTAGCCTCACGCCTTCTTGAAACGAAGACGACGTCCCATAAAAAGCTGCTATATATACATTTTTATATCCGCCGCGGCAAAACCATAAAACATCAGATACAACCCCGTATGTGTGTTGAGTGTAGTGTGACGCAGATGTTCTTGTATTTAAATATGAGAAATTATTTTAATTCTAATAGATGAGGGGAAAAAAGAGGAATTAATTGAAATTTAAGGAGTAGTTTAATTAACAGCTGGAACCTGCAGCACCGCCGCCGCCGGGACCGACGGGGTAGACGTGATGATGGAATGGCTGCTGAACGTGAAGCAGAGTGATCATCCCGGTGTCCTCCACGCTCGGCTCGTTCGACGGCACGATGCCTCCCACGCCGAGGAGGTGGTCCAGAACCCACTGCAGGGCGTAGAAGCTGCCGTCGCTCTCGTCGATCGCCACCATCACTTTCATCGGCGGCCGCCGCCTCCACGTCTGCTCGCCTCTTCCACCGCCTGCAACCGTCGCCGCCTCCTCCTCCATTAACGGGCGCTGTAGTGTAGTGATTATGGTTTTTGTACGTTTCCCGGATCAACAGACCATTATTTAATGCGGATTTATAGTGGGACGGGAAAGCCATCTCTTTTGGAGGTGGAATTCCTTTTTCTTCTCTTTTTGTGGCGGGTACAAGTGGGATTCCTTTTTATTCATTACTGGACAGGTGGCGTTCATGCAAGCAGGGAGATAATGCATAGCTTCCAGCTGTTGTTCATTGAGGATTAATATGAGGTCGGAAGATAACAACAATTTAAAGCAGACGTAGTGACGTACATGAGATCAGATGAGATCCCACTCAAAATAAAAGGCGGGGGAAAGTTGATTGTATAATATTGCACTCAGTGAGAGCTGCCACTTTCCAAACAGTTCATGTGTTGTTGTAACTGGGCCGGGATAAGTCAAGGTTATGTCAGATTGGGCCTGCCCTGCAATATTAAGGATGAAATTTTATGTCTTGCCCAACCGGACCATAAACCAACTAACGGGAGGGCGGAGATCAAGTAGTACCAACAAGTTATAAGCTAACCGTACCGTAGGTTATATACCGAAAAAGTCACTTGCATATGATATTTAGTATCAAAAGCATGTTTTAACAATAGTTCAATCGTTTCCTACTATTAAAAGCAACTACTGGTTTGGTTACCCGGTATTTCCTGTCAAACCAACAGCAACATCAGTGATATATTGCAATTCTTGTCAAGCACTGATTCGGGGAAGTCAACAACTCAAGAGCGATGGACTATAGTGGAAAACGAATAAAAGTTTGGACCTAATATGACATTTTTAATTATGATGTAGTTTTGATTATCTTGATTCTTTAATATATTTAACACAGATTTGTTATTAATAAGTGAACCCCAACCAGCCACATGTCGGCTTTGGTTTAATGGGATTCAAAAGGCGGTTACTAAAAGAAAATGCTAAAGACAGCGGCGGATCTAGGGCCCCCCCAGGCCACTACTCAGCCCTCCTCGGATCCAAAGCTCGTATAGTACTTGTAAATTTTCAATTTTGGGTATATATTTCAATGTTTACAGTGTTACGGCTCAGACCTCTCCACCGCTTTTTAAATGCGGCGCAGTGCTCTAACCTGTTCTGGATCCGCCGCAGCTTAAAGAGAAGAAGCCAGACTTTCTGCTGCTCTTCAACCCATATTGAGCTTTGTCTCCTTTCTCTCATGGTATTAGAGCACAATAATGCTATTATGGCAGCTATGTTATGAGAAGCAGTCGAAGTCTTGATGATTGATGGTGATTATGAGTCTACCAACAATAAAGACATATAGAAAGCAATATTTTTGAACCCATATCATGGCCATAATTGCATGGTTTTCACATTTTTATTGCCATAATATCTTGAATTTGCCTAACATCCACTCGAAGTGTGTTTTAGTAGTTCTAAGATCGCTTTAACTATTTTGATACACTCTTTGTAGTTTTACATGCGTTTTCTGTGCATGTAAAAAATCAAGATTGGAATAAAGTCATAAAAATGCCGAAAATAGATGCAGAAATCCTAAAACGACTCCTTGGCCATTTTTTAGGGTGTCCAGAATTTGCTTAGATTCATTCAGTTGATTCTATACGTGGTGGCAAAGCTACACTCTTTGTACGTGTTATGGGACATAAAAAATCAAGATTGGAATAAAGTCATAAAAATGCCGAAAATAGATGCAGAAATCCTAAAACGACTCCTTGGCCATTTTTTAGGGTGTCCAGAATTTGCTTAGATTCATTCAGTTGATTCTATACGTGGTGGCAAAGCTAGACAAGACCCAAAGGGAATCGAAAGATGTGTCTAAACTCGAATCTAGATAATAATGAGCTCCAAATCAGGCAGCATTCAACATGTGGTTGCTCTGCCTCCAAGACACCCTTAGATCTCAAGAATCAAACAGAAGACCCAGAGAAGCACAATGGTGCAATAAATGCCGACCGAGATACCATTCTGGAGTTTTGGCCGCCAAATTCGACGACGGAATCCAGATTGCTCCATTTTCTCCTCGTATAAGCCCTTTATCAGTATGAGTAGCGAGATCCTTTGTTTGTATAGGTTTGTGAAACCTATAGGTTCCTTGACTATGTAAACCCTTGAGTTTGGTATGCATATGAGTTCTAGTTTATCTATTTGTTGGGTTAGATTTCATGTATTTCTATTGCCAATTGGTTATGTACCTAGTCGAAGCCACACATCCACTCAAGGTGCGTGCTTCGAAATATAATTTTGAGTTGGGTGACCGGACATGGCTATCTCTCACAATTGATACTCAATCAATTGGACTCCATGACTTCTCAAAAGATAAATTCATAGGGTTGCAATCCAAGGTTATAAAATGACGCGGTTATGAGAATACTCCTTGATGTGTGTATTGGGAGGTTTGATCACCTACATCGTCAAATGCAATATGATTCGACTCTAACTACAGCCATCCCAATCAAAGTTCAAGCATAACCAACGACCGGGTATAGTGAAAACACTCAATTTTTAGTATTTATCACTATCAAATGCAATATGATTCGACTCTAACTACAACCATCCCATTCAGTCAAGAAAACCCCATAGAGGGGTCTGCAGCTATGGAGATGTTATCATCATCAATGGTGGTACCGTCCTTATCCTCTGTGTACCTAGTTGATGCCACACATTCCTTTGAGGAGCATGCTTCAAAATATAATTTTGAGTTGGCCGGGTGACCAGACATGGCTATCTCTCACGATCGGTGATTAATCGATTGGACTCCATGACTTCTCAAAAGAGAAATTTTTAGGGTCATTGTTTCTTATCAGATTAAGCATTTCCTGTGTTGTCATAATCATTCGTTGCAATCCAAGGTTATAAAGTGATGCTCTTATGAGAATTCTCATTGTTATGTGTATTGGGAGGTTTGATAGCCTACATAGGAAAGATGTATACTCTTCAAATGCAATGTGACTCAACTCTAACTACAACTATCTCAATCAAAGGTCAAGCATAACCAAAAACCAAATAATAGTGATAACACTCAATTGATAGTGTTATCACTCCCATATTTGATACATTTTCCCTTTCTATTGAAGAATGGTATTTCTTATCTTAATCACAAATATTTGATCAATTAGCTTTTAATAGACCTAGGCAATGTTCTTGTACTATTTGATATCTTCTAGGTATACTTTTGATGGTTTTGATGGTTCAAATCAACCAAAGGAAGATTGAATCAAGCATTGGAGAACTCTGGAGGACCAAACGAGCTATCAAGAGAAGTTTAAGGAGTTTTCAGAAAGAAGGAGCGGTCCAATGATGGAGAAATTAACTAGAAGTTGTTATATTGTGTCAAGACGTTCCCGTAGGAGGAAGAATCAGCCCATTCGAAAGGAAGAAAGAGCGTTAGCCTGAGCAACGAGTCCAACCATCACTACCCAAAGTCGCCTCCTAAATCGTTTGGCTTCGAAGTCCATGGATGAAGAAGCCCAAATCATGAAGAATTAGAGCGGTGCATCCAATCGATGTACCAACGTCGCCCTCCCCTTTTTATTATTGACAAAGTTTCCTAATTCTACTAGGTTTAGGAGACTCTTTCCTAGTCGGTTTAGGTTGTTTTAGTCTGAATTCTCCCGTATAAATAGAGGGTGTGACTCCTTTGTAAGACTAAGGCTGCACAAACACACACATCTCTATAACACTCTACACGAGTGCAAGCCTAGTCGAAGTAGGGGGTCTGCAGCTAAGGAGATGTTGTCATCATCAATGGTGGTACCTTCCTTATCCTCTATACAGCTAGTCGAAATTTATTGTATTAGGATGTGATCTTCTGTATTGTTAGGTGAACGAATGCTATAATTTGATCTCATGATTGTGTTTGTCTATGGATTTTGATGCCTATGATATTGTATGGACGCTTGTTTGTGTCGATGCTTATGATTCTATTGTATGCTAATATATGCACTGTGCTTAGTATTGCCTAGATTGTCAAGAAATTAGATCCTAGGGATGCCCCATTGATGCTACACGAGCATGGGAGGACTGATCACCCATCTATGCTTTGAGTTGTATCAATGCTTGATTGTGAAATCATCAATGTTATATATTATAGTTATGGTTCGTAGAATCCCACAGTTAACTATATGCTATCCCAACTTCCTTGTTCTTCATAGCTAGGTAATGGCATGAAGTGAAAGCACGCATTAGCTAGTTATATCTCTATCGCAAGAGGCACATACATGGGTAGAGTGTGGCCTCGGAGGAAGGGATAGAGTGTTGCAATAGATGAACCATTGATGCATGATAGGAATGATCCCTAGTTTGGATGATCATCTTCGAGTTCACTACCTTTTACAATAACATATCTTTACTTTTGTTTATCTATAAATTGAAAACCCCAAAACAACTTTACCCTTTTTTCTTTGTTTATTTGTCTAAGGAAAACCCATAAGTGTCCTTATTTTTGTGTATGTGTTAATGGTTGGTGTGATTAGTTATGGATTAGAAGACCTTGAGGAATATGACCCTAGGCACATCGAGGATTATCACTTGCATGAAATTCCACATATGTATTATAGGGTAAGTAAAATAAAATATTGAATCCACGGGTCTCTAGATGTATCATTACATCACTTTGATTTATTATCTAGCCAAACAAGAATAGTTATTAAGAAACTAAGATAACTTAGCTACTCTAACCACTACTATAACTAATTACAAGGTGGGAGCTCACTTATGAATGAATCCCCCTAGTTCCTTCATTAGGTCGATGTTGATTACTTCCATAGATTGATTGACTTGATACTTCTACCACTGAGAATTCTAGACTAGATTCGACTCCCTATTCGAGTTATCCACCCCCACTCAATTACATTATCGAAGAGGCATACCATACAAACGACCTATGCAATTGAGGTGTTCACAACTAACTCCCATAATTGGGTAAAAATTACGTTATCAGTTCGTGGAGCGGTAGCGAGAGCGTAAGAGAGTCTATGTTGTGAGAATTCATTATTAAGAGCGCGAAGAGAGCATTATTATTAATTATTTTCATTTTTC